AAACTCCTAAGATCTTATCCACATATTTTAAAAGTGCAACTGATATCCAAAGAAATAACTGGTGTACTGTACTCGGTAAAACTAAATAATACAAACACAGAAATATTGCCTTGGGTGAACTGTGCCAAGTCTCAGTTTCAGTGATAATGAAACTTTTAAAAAGGCAGAAAGCACTCAGTTATTCTGAACTCAGACCACACCGTCTTTCCTCTTGAGTGTTCACGAGTACAGTAACAGAATTAAAAGCTGACCGCACTCCACTCTATCAATATTCAAGCTGGTTTAGTGTTTATACAAAAGCAGAGCAAAGTAATAGGATTTAAAAGTATTTTTGTAAGAACAGTTAAAAAGAAAAACCACAAAACAAAACCAAAGAACATTATAAGTAGTCTGAGAATTCTTAATGCTTGTGCATCCGAATAAATAAGAGCTTAACATCACTCCTCAGTTTCTCAACTCTTTCACTCTGCATTTATTTAATACCATTCCCAAATCCTCCTATGTCACTCCTTTCCAGCTGGTTGGCTGCTGCTATTGCTCCCCAGGAATATTTTACATTTACTTAAATGACTTTACATTTCTCAAATTCTCCCATACTTTTACTCCCTCAAAATGTGTCTCCTTTTCCACTATAAACATTCTTTGTAATATTTTTTTTTCCAGTTTAAAGATCTCATTGCTTGATGGGGGTAACATTTTCCAAGTAATTATTACTTACTACTCCATGAAGGCTGCCATGTTTCAGGATGATGCCCTGAGATGCTTAAACAAATTTTCTTCCCCACTTCAAACCTGCCGTTGGCCTTCAGAGAAAGAAGGTTAGAATAAAACACGTTGAAAGTTAACTGGTACAAGTTGTAAAAATCACCATCAAACAAAACTTATATACAAAAAATACTTTATAATATTACTGCCAACCCCACAAAATTGGCATTCAGCTTTCTAAACAAAGAAGTCTGCCATCTGCATGAAGAAACCCTTAACTGGTACCTCGCGTGTCCCGGTGTGACATCGTGGCTTGCCTGTTACTCCCATAACCCACACACCACGTGTAGAGAGCCTGAAAAGCCACAGCTCTACGAAAATATGCACAAAAGTGGGCTTTAGCCCCACACCATAGGTCTGCCTTCCTACACGTGACCAATGTCTCCAACAGAGACCCAGAGGGCCCACACAGAGAGCAGAACATCAGACGATCACATCAGCAATGCAAGTACTCCTAGGGGAAACTTCCATTTACCAGGTGCAAAGCTTCATTTAATTACAGAATCCCAAAGTCACCTCGGAAAACCTCCGGTCTTAAATTGGCAGCATTAACTGCACTATGCCACCTTTCCTTCAAAAATAACATTACCTCAAATGCCAAGAGTCTCTCTCTCAGACTCCTAAGGTTAAATTGATCACATAAAAAGGAAAAACTAGTAAACATGCTTACCGTCAGTAAAATAATGCTGGGTGGTTTCATGGGATATTCAGGTGGCAGTACTATTCGCCCGTGATAAATCCCTCCATCAAAATCTGAATCTGGAGGGCCTCTAACAGTAAAGTGCCATTCAAAAAGATTATCCTAAAAAGACCCCACCAAAGGGAGAAGACAAAAAAAAAAAGAAACAAAGAGAAATAGACAAGTAAACACCATTTTCTTGAACAAGGACAGGTTAAACAAACAGTGAACAGCAGAAGTTTTAAAAAGTCAAAATCAAACGGAGAGCAAGACAACCAACAAAGTACTAAGATTCTGGTTAAAAGCATAAAATATAAGTTTCCAGTAACTTTCTTACACAACAGCTTTGTTGAAGCCCTCAAATTTATTACTCAAGCTCGCCACTCTAGTTGTATCAATTATAAGAAGAGTTTTATTACCCATCAGGTGGAAAACAGTCAACTAAGGCAAAACTGCCTTTGTCCCAGTGCATAATAATTTCTAGAGAACTGATAAGAAATAACATTAATGACAGCCGCCCCAAAACCCCTTCCATGCCCAAGGCAACACAGAGACTCAACTCACATCACAGAGAATTCCCATCCTCTTTTGCTTCTCCGTAAACAACTCTGAAACAGTAACTGTGCCTCACTGCACAACAGACACACTTTAACCTTTGGAACATTATTTTATTGGACATACAAATAACTTCTCTTTAAGCATTATTTCTTTGGGGTTCTGTGTTTGGCTTTATGTATCAGATCTCATGATGCTCACAACACCCTGAATACTCCCAACCAGAACAAGTCCTGCTGTTAGGACAGGAGCCCAAACGAGGCCTGCACTGACCAAGACCTCTGAACTCGCACTGAATACAGGAATCACAGGGCTGTGACTGGCTACTTAGTTACTTCCCATCCTTGAAACACTTCTAACCATCAGCATTTCCAGCATTTCCCATCATCTGCTGCTGTTCTCTTCCCAGCGAGTCACTGTTCTAACCCAGAAATAAGACCTTCAGCTAAGTTACAAGTAATAACATGAATTAAACTTTACATTTCACCACAAGAAGGGGAAATAGAAGGTACAGACAAAAACTAGTCATCAGTAAGGTATATTTTATAGAACCTAGGAACATGCTATTTCCTGTAAGCATGTTAAGCGTGGTAGGCATTTCTGTGAACAGATGAGTCAAAATCCCAAACTGAACACCACAGAACACTGCCTTTTTTATTATTCCAGCAAATTCAAGAGTTTAAGTTTCCCATCACCAGAATTTCACCCTCCTCTTAGCCCAAAAACTTATCTGGTTGTTTAGATTTTAAGATGCTACTGCTTAAGTGGAATCTAAGTATTCTCTATTATAGTGCATCCCAAATTGCAGCCATCTATGTTTTTCACAGGTTTTTCGTATGCAAAATCAGGAACCCTCACGGATCACCTAGGTTCAAGTGTTCTGCTCAGCAGCTCAGCAAACTAAGTCAGATTTCAGATTTGGGTGTAAAAAGCTTCACGTAAACATAGTCTCAGGAAGCAGGAGGGGGAATAAGCACATTAATACCTGTGTGATAAAATTACTCCAGTGCAATGTAAAACAGATGATGTACTTTCACTAACAATCTGGAACTACAATACCATTTAAGTGGAATTGCGCTGTTGATTTTCATCGTAGAAAAAAAGAACTGAATCCACTTTAAAAGTCTGCTAGTATCTAAATATGTACCCTTTAAATACATATGCATATAGAGAACTTCAAGTATCTATTACACAGCCTAATTTACAAGCTTTTGCAAACATATAGAGAAACAAACCTCCAAAGGCTGTGCATGATAATGATCTGTGGGATCCTTCAGTTCTGCAGCCTCTTTCATCAAACGTTTGACAGCTGAAAAAGAGGAAGTGTAGGACATGAAAATAAAGAAAAACATCATTATGCATTGCAGACAAAGATACACAGACATCTCTTGAAGGGCTCCTTTCAGCTATCTAATCTTTTTTGACACATCCCAGCTTCTTCACTGGAGTTAATAATATAAGACACTGTATAAATTAATCATGCTGAATAAATCTTAAATGAGTTACACGAACACAAAGCTATGAAAAATACGTTGCACGGTCACAGAGTTTCTTAACACTGAACACCGGCACTAAAGTAGTTTTACATTATTAATTACACCAAAGACAAGAGAAAAAAAAGGTGTCATTAATGGAGTCTCAGACTTCAAATACAAGATGTACAAGACTAATAGCCTCAATATTTTATCATAAAAGACATCCTATCCTGACACCTCCTGTGATTATTACATGACTACTCCCTTACTTACTCCAAAGGGGGTCACAATACAATTTGAGAGAAACCAACACACCAGTAAGCAGTATGACGAGATGAAGTTTTATACCAGATTTGAAATGCATATGCCCAGCCAGAAAAAGTAACCCAGGGTCTTTGTAACTTGAGCGCACATGTAGTAAGTATAATACACGCAGGTGTTTTCCTATCCTAAATTCAGGAGAGTTATTAGTTACCCTCTCCAATCTTCTACTTCAGAACCATCTGTATTTTCTGTATCTCCTTTTTCTGCTCCTTTTAGAAAGTTCTGTTATATCACTTGTCCTGCCAGGTGCCCTCATGCACATCACACATTAATGCCTAATAAAAACCTCAGCCAAACTGACGAGCAGACTAAACCCAAGAACTACAGACAAGAAATTCAAGGATTCTACCTCATGAAGAAGAAGTTAGGCAGAAAATCCTTACTCCCTCCTACTCACTGGAAAAAGTGCAAATACCAGTTACCACTAAGCAATTATATGGGAACAGGACCCCTTAATCCATCTTCCACATTCAGTTCAAACCATGGATGTCCCTCCCACTCCTGTAATTATCTAAGTACAAAGAAGGAGTACCCAAATCTACCCAAATTCCCTTTCACCATAGCTTCATGCTCCACTCTAAGTGAGCCACAGCTCCTCAGTTCACAAAGCCTGGCATCACCAGCTGACTGGAGGCTGTGTATGTGCTCAGCGTCCTGGGCTTTACTTGCTTTCATGACGCTGTGAGGGAGGCTGCTCCCAATTTCCCACAGAGGCATTTTGATTTTCATCTACTGTGAAAAGTCCTTTTCCTCCTTTGTACTTCTTGACAGCTATACACAACAGCCCAAAGTTTCAGAATGTCACTTCTTGCAACCCAAAAAGCAAACAGACTGTGCAGGAATTTGCTGCTGCCAGTTGTCCCAATTCTGCCACTGCCAGGGGGAGGTGTCCAGAAAACACCTCACAGAGCCCACGGGGTCACAGGCAGCAGCGTCCAGGGGCTCTGCTGGAAAACAATTGCCTCTTTCATCTGCATTAACGTTTACCAGTTCATTAGCAAGAACTAATTAGAAAACCAGCTGGGACCAGACAAGGCTTCAGACCCGGCACTGTTTCACAGTCCACAGGCCTGGACACTTCCCTTCAGAAGGAGAGTGGCATGCACCAGGATGAGCTAATTCAGGAGTGAGCACCCCATGGAGCAAAAGGGTAACCATGAGAAAACTGAGAACGTATCTAACGAAGCCTAATGAAGACAGAACAGTCGTGGACAAGGTAAACAACTCCATTACTGAGATTTCCCAGACAAGGGACTCAGACAGAAAAGAAATACAGCCCACCTATATGAGCATCATGTAACCCACGTTAACTGAGGGAAAGCTATTAAAGAAAAAGAAAAAAACTTCAAGACCATTCTACAAAAGCCTACCGACACTCAGAGAGGTTTATACCCAGACTATTAGCCTAAAACTGGGTGCAGGATCTCTGGCACTGCACATCAGCACTTTGGATTTGTCCTGAAAGGAACAGCCTTTTCATCACTGTAGCTCCAAGGCTGTCCCATGGGTGCCAGCAGCAGGCAGAGACCAAGGGTTTGCATTGAGAAGTAACCAAGACAGCAGCCATGGGAGGACAGCAAGCAGGTGGGCTCCTGTCAAGCAGAATTTAAAACAGAAGCAGTACAAAGCATGGGTTTTATCATAGTTTTGTATTTAATTAACAGCGACAGTGATACTGCATATTTCCATAGTATTACTTTATTATCAAGAAGTCAGACCACAAATATTTTAAGAAGCCAGCATAAAATACACTGAAACAACACAAAATAATATTCTACTCAAAGCATGCAAAATATATAATTTAGCTTTTGTAAACCACAGAGATAATCTGCTTATAAGAAGTTTTCACCATTAAGCAACCTAGGGTATCTTAAGAAGCCCACATACACAAAGAAAGACTGAAAAGCAGCAGCATACATATATATATATATATATACACATACACACACACACACACACACACATATATATGTATATGTGAAGGATGGCTGAGAGAGTTGGGGTGGTTCAGCCTGCAGAAGAGAGGGCTCCAGGAAGATCTTACTGTGGCCTTTCAATACTTACAAGGGGCTTATAAGAAAGACAGAGAATTTTTACAACAGCCTGTAGTGACAGGCCAAGGAGCAATGGTTTTAAACTGGAAGAGGGTAGATTTAGACTAGGTATTAGGAAGAAATTCTTTACTGTGAAGGTGGTGAGACACTGGCACAGGTTGCCCTGGGAAGTTGTGGATGCCCCCTCCCTGGCAGTGTTCAAGGCCAGGTCGGACAGGGCTTTGGGCAACCTCCTCTAGCAGAAAATGTCTCTGGCCACGGCAGAGGTTGGACTATGTGATCTTTGAAGGTTCCTCCCAACCCAAACCATTCTGTGGTTCTATTTTCACACTGAAAAACACCAACTGCAAAAATCAGCCTGGATCAATAAAGGTTCATTCTGAGAAGGTGTGATCCAGTGAAGAAAGCATTAAGCTGTTTCTTCATTAAGCACAGCTGCAGCATTCCTGATGACAGTCCCTCCTTTGGCTACTGAACATGGCCATGGAAGAAACAAACATAATTCACAAAGTCTGCCTGCAACAAGTATGACATTCTTTCATATTCAAACTTCATTAAAAGAGTTTTGATGCAAAACTTGGTATTTCAACCCACTTAAAATCACACTGAGTCATCTGATTAAACACTTGGCAATGGCAATTCTGAAAAATGAGAATGGCTTGGGCCCATTCAAAAAGAATTGCAAACAGTCAAACAAGTCAGAAAGGATCACTAATTCAGCCAAACAAAAAAATCAAATGAAGACATTCAATTTGTCAGAGACAGGTATTAGAGACAAAATTATCGAGGTATTTTTTAATATGGCATGACTGTCAGCATGAAAATTAACCATACTTTCACAGGTACACTCAGCAATAATTTATCATAATATTCAGTGAAATTAAATACTGAGGAAATTTAAGTTTCTGGGCTAACTCTGGAGAGTGAAGGAGAGTTCCTACCCCAGCAGGAAGCACGGAAGCTCTTCACTGCTCTGGGGAGGAAAGGAAAGAGCGGGTGCTGTGGGCCAGAGGCTCTGCCTGACAAACATTAAACTTACCCAATTTTTCTGAAAAGCAAAACATGGACCCTAAAAATTTGAGAATCAAATTTAAGGCCACCAGCTTGTCTTAGGATTGAGTGGCAGTGGAATAACAGAATTAATGACCAAAATGTGTGTAATATATGCATAGATGATTTGTAGATTTATTTCTGTCAAAAACCGTGTCCTGGTCAAATCCTACTTCTTAACAACGAAGCTTATTACCTTAAGCTATCCTGAAATTGCTGTTCAATGTAACTGCTTCTCTTGGATGTATCTTGAACTCACATTTAAGTACTTCCGCTATCACACCCGACTAGACCAGTCTGCACCTTGTGCCTGGGGAAACCCTTCTGTACACAGAAATGCAAGTCACCAGTCTTCACAAATGTCAGTATTACTGCTTCAAGACACGGGATTCGAACATCGGTGATGTTCTCTTAGTAAAATACAATGCCTTGTTTTTTAAAAAAACTGTTATTGTGAAAATAAAAATAGTCTTAAAATGAAGCAATCATATTTAGTCTTACAGAGCTCTGTTTAGTTACTAGTCTTCTGTATTTAATAAGGAAGGATTTCAGTCCATTTTCACATTATCAGTGAACAGTACACGTGGCAATGAAATGAACTGACCAAGGTTCTATTAATGCAAATACAACACACAACAGGATTTATTTCAGCATAACACAGCTGCATACCTTTTGCCCACTGGAAGTTCCGAAAACTCAGCTACAAGTTCCAACTCCCTCCAACACTCAAAACCCAAAAACCCAGACACTGTCAGGAGCTTCCTGAAGATCTGCCACAGCTTATCTACAAAAGGTACTCGGGTACAGGAGCTCTACAGGAGGAACAGACCCAGGTGAGGGGAGGTGGGCGATACTGGGGTCAAACCCAAGTTAGGAAGCACAGGGAGAGCAAGGTCCCAGTTCTGCAATGCTCAGCCCCCTGTAGTTCACCACATGAAGGAAAGCATTACATGGCCACAAAGATGACTGCAGGATCATCAGCAAAAACTCATGTTTAAGTGTTCAGGGCTGCATTTGACAAGATCTTCCTCATTCCATTCTACCAATTTCAGTTCTTCTGCTTGAAAAAGAAAGTACATAATAAACAAAGGAACCCAGAACAGCTGGCACAAAGCTAGAGGTCTCCTAATCTTTCAAGTTGACTTATCTGATCTGGAAAAAAAAAGAATAAAACAGTCTGACAGCTTTTACTGCTTTCTACTTTTTATTTTCTAATGGCTGCTACTTTTTTTTCCATTTTAAATAATATTTAGAGATCTCATCAGGAGAAATACAGAAAAAGTAATCGGTAACCAACCCTGGCTGTTGACCAAGACAGCATAGGTAAAGATACAATTCACTTATTGAACTGAATCCAGGTGTTCGAATGAATTGAATTATTAAAACTCTTTACCAAGTTTCTC